TGTCAGCCGGCACTTGTGGCCACCTTGCCGCCTTGTCTCTGGCCTCTTTCTAACTGGCAACCCCTGCCTGGAGCTCTCCAGCCCTGATTTACAGGCACCCTGGGAGTTGTGGGTGCCTTCCAAGCCGTGGACTTCCCTTCTCAGTCCTTCGGTACCAACTGCTTCTGGTTGTGGAGAATGGAGAGCAGACTTCTCTGAGCTTTCCCTCTAGTTAGAGCTGTAGCCCCCAGGATCACCCACTGCCACTGCCTCTAAAAGAAATATGCTGGAAGTGCGTGCAGGGAGAACTAACTTATACCCTCAGCACCTGCTAAGTCAGGATGATTTCTTTGGAGGTAGGGGTCTTAGGTCTTGGCAAAGCCACAGCTGCCCTGGCTCTGAGAGTGCAGAAGAGGGTGAGAGCGGAGAAGGGTTACCCAAAGACTTCTTCCCTTCCCCCAACAATGACAGGAACAGATAATACTCTCTTGTCCGGGATAGGGGGGACAATGGTCCCACAGAAGGGCTGGTGGGGGCAGGGTAGGAGAGCACAAGACAAAGAGCCTCATTCACCACACATGCCACCTCCTCTGCCACTGGCCCCCCACAAAGTCTTGGCTTTGTGCCTGCTCCAGGACTGGGCGGTACCGAACACCTGCGTTCAAGGTCCAGCTCTGCCTACCACTTTGCTGTGTGTCAGCAGCACCTCTCTGAGCCACTTGTTTTCCTGCCTGCTAAAAGCCACACGTTTTTAATGTAAACCTTTTACACCAGCTCCAACCTCCCGTCAGCACAGAGAGCTGTGTTTGTGCTCAAACAAGGCCCTAGGGCAGGGGAAGGCGAGGAATGTCCGTCCAGCGCGGGCCTCGGCGTGGGCACCAGCCCGGGACCCACACGCCATCTGGTCTGCAGCTCCAGAGTCCCTTCCTCCTCCAGCGGCCGTCCCCTCCCCCACACTCCCGGCGTCTCCCCTACCTCAGGGCTGCACCCGACTGCCAAGAAAGGCTCAACTCAACTCCGGAACCTCAGGGCCTCATTTGCATGCCACTTCCTCCGAAAAATCCCCCAACGCTTTCTTTTCCCCAGTGCCCGGCCCGCTCCCTAGCCTCCCGGCCTTCCCGCGCCTGCTCACCATGATGGGGAAGGGGCGCCGCGGTCGTCTTCGTAGGCACTAGCTCTCCGGGGCCGCCCGCCTGCGCGGAGGGACACGGAGACTAGCGAAGACGCGACCCCTCCCCGGGCCCCTTTACATAGCCCGACCCTTTACCGGGGGTGGAGCGCGTACAGGCCGGAGCGGGATGGGGCGGGCCGAGGCGGGCCGCGGCGCGCCCCCTCTGCGCAGGCGCGGTGAATCGAAACTAGAAACTGACCAGGCGCTGGGAACAGGATGACGCGTATTCCGCATCCTGCCAGAGTGCACACCTGCGGCGCACCTGTCTGGCCAATGGCTGGGGATATAAGGGAGGAGCTTTCTGGCCTTTTTTTCTTGTAGGTGTCAGTGATGAACTCTTTAAAGAGGAAAGCAGTCACCCTTCCCCCCATGGGTCCCCCGCCGGGATTAGGATTAGCGACGGAGGCAGGGCCGTGCAAGTGCATGGTCGGATCCCGTGTTTATTTAAAATACGGATATTTTATTCATCGTGGGTTTTGCATTAAATTTTTGTTACAAGATAAAATACTGTTTATCTTGCTCACCGAGTTTTTTGGCGCCTCGCGAGAAGTTGCAACTGAAATGTCTCACTTCCCTCACCCTAGTCCAGGCCCTGCCCCAGCCTGAATTCAGCCTCTGCCCAACCCTGCCGGGAATTGTGGGACGGAACCAAAGGCCAGAGGGACAGATGAACACCATGGTGAGATTCCTAACTCATCCCCTGAGGCAGCTGCTTAGCCCACCACTTCCTCTGTGAAGCCACTGAAAGCTCAAGTAGATTTTAGAGAGCTTCCTGTGTACCAAGTGCTGTGTTAAGCACTCATATAATCCTCACAGCAACCCCTGAGGCAGATAACCATTCTAAAAAGGAGGAAACAAGCTTGGGAGCCTTAATTTACTTGACTGCACAGGCAGAGGTGGCACAGCAGATGAGCCACAGCTCCTAAACCTAGGCTACTCCTGATTCTTGGGCAGGAAACTTCTTTCTTCCTCTGGGCTCCTAGAGTACAGTGCCCCTATCGGTGCCAGCATTCACTTCATTCTGCTTTCAGGGCTTAGGGGTTTACAGGTAGGTCTCCCTCACTGAGTGATGGCTGAGGCTGTCCCATTATTATTTCTTCCATAGAGCCTCCCACAGTACCCTGCACACAGCAGGTACTCAGCAAGATGAACCAATGGCCAGCCGTTAGGCAGACATACCTCTATGCCCAGGCCTTTCTCTTTCTTCCCCCTTTAAGTTGCCCCGGTTCCTTGGAGCTCTCCTGTTTCTTCACCTTCCTCAAACTCTTTCTTCTTAGCACCTTTCTTATTATTCCATGAGGTCCTTGGACTGGGCCTGAGGAAGAGTACTATGCTTCATAACCTTGATCACACTCTGGGTCAGGCCTTGTTTGAGGGTCTCTGTGTTTCTCACCCAGTCAGGGTAAGGTTAGAATTCCTTGTACTGGGGAACTGGTAACCTCTGCCAGGTCACTCATTCTCTAAGGGTCTTTTGAGAATAAGTGGGGGCGAGGAGACAAAATGACAGACTCAGTGTTTGTAGGAGTGAAAGATACATATATTTAAAGGGAGAACAGTAACAGAAAGAGGCAGAGATGACCTGTGGAGCCCCGGCCACATTTTTTCCTGTTAAAAAATCTCAACTTGAAAGTCTAGTTTACTAAAATCCCCAGGGTCCCTGTGAACACCAGTGTCCCGATCCTAATAGCTAAGCTACTCACAGTGGCTTCATTCATCTTCTTTTTCACCTTTTTCAGTTTTTTCAGCATTTTCTGTTTTCATTTCTCCTATTTCTCCCAATTCTGTTTTCCCCAGTTCTTCCGACTCTCTTCTGCCTGCTTCTGTAAGTCTCTCCTTTAGTCCCTCTGATTCTCTTTCATCTAAATCTTCTAAGAGTTTTTGGTCCAGTTCTGAAGGCCTCCTGTAAATTTCTCTTGATTCCCTTCTGCTCACTTCTGGTAGTTTCCTTCCTGCTTCTCCCGATCTTATGCCTAATTCTCCAGACAGTTTCTTGTGAACATCTGAATCTTTCCCCGTGGCTCCCAGTTCTCTTTTCCTTAAGGAGCTGACTTTTTCTATGACTTCTCTCTGCCTCTCTTCTTGTCCACTCTCTATGATCGTCAGAGCTTCATTAGACAACTCGTCTTCTGTATCTTTCTCACTCTCAGTTTGCCTTCTTTCCCAATGCTTCATCACCTTCTCAGGTCCGTCTCTCCCTCTTCTCATGGTCTCCCTTGCCATCACAGCTGTATTATCCAATGCAGCAGCCTCTTCTGAAAAACAAAAGAAAGGAGTGAAGAAAGGTAAGAGTTCGTCCAGCTCTGGGCCTGGGTGAACCGCAGCCCGTGGGGGCCTGTGCTTCTAAGAGAAGCGCCTCTTTCCAAAAGGAGAGAAAGGGAAATCATCCATTACTGAGTGCCAGCCCTGTTCCAGGCATCGTGTGAGCTGCACAGATTATACCATTCAGTTGTCTTGAAAAGTACATAGTGCTTGCAGTCAAGGGACCTGAGATTGATAAAGAGAAATCATACCCCATGTTCACACTGCACATAAATAAATGCAGAGCCAGAATTTGAACCCAGGACAATCTGC